TATTCTGCTTAAATGTGTCATTCTTTTGCATCTTTTAATTTTAAAACCTGGAATTATTGAAATTTGTAGTTCTCATAGGAATTCTTTTGTTTCCCTTTTCAGGTGTGAATCTGGTTACACTGGACAGCACTGTGAAAAGACAGACTTTAGTATCCTCTATGTAGTGCCAAGTAGGCAAAAGCTCACTCACGTTCTTATTGCAGCGATTATTGGAGCTGTCCAGATAGCCATTATAGTCGCAATTGTCATGTGCATAACAAGGTAGGTAATACCCTGAGAAATCCCAACTTTCAGTTAGAGGTGTGGGTAGCTGTGAAATTAAAAAAGAACCTTGAAGCACACTCAAAATGATAGGGGCTTTACGCCCACCAGTCTAGTAGGGAAAAATCCTAGTGTCAGTTCACTGACTGACCTGTGGGTCTGACCTCTCCCTAACTTGCTTCTTTAGAAGATGGACAGGAACGCATTCCCAGGGTTGCAGGTCTATCTGGGCTGTAGGTAGAGGGAGCTTGAGAACATTCCATGGCATAGAGGAATGTAGGGATCTTAGAACTGTGTGCCAGTTCTAAGCATTGCATTTAGGCACAATAATGGTAGTAGCCGAATTTTTAGGAGGGTCTGCACACGCACAGAAAAGCCATGCCAAAAGTTTTTAAGCCCTGCAGAACTGCAAGATGTTTTTCATGCCCTAAGAATATTCATAGTAAATCTAATAAGAAAGGAAAAAAACAGAGGTTAAAGAACACTGCTTTTCTTACTATATTACTGCCTTTGTGTTACTTTATTTTCTGGAATATAGTCGTAACTACTAAGCTTTTATATTCTCTATCATAACTAAAACCATTGGGGTTTATCATAACTAAACTCCAAATTAAAGAACTATTTAGAATGCAACTGGTATAAAATGGATGTTTTCCATGCTGAGTGGAAATATCTAAGTCAGAACAGAACTGGGCCTGAGAAAAGTCAAAGCAAGTGAAGTTCATATGGTCTTTATGCTTTCCAGTCTCATGTCTTTTCTTCTTGCTTGCCTCTTCCTAACTTCCTTTAAGGTTTGGATCCGAAGTCCCATAAACATCATCTGTATGCTTTTCTGCATTATTCTGGGTGGGGGATTGGAGCGTATCGAGTACAGATATTGGCAGGCCATAAAGGATTTATGGCTCTTCTATCCAAGGTCTGGATAGAAGCCAGACCTTGAGTAGTCTCAGCCATCTGGAGCTGAAATGATATGTCTAGAAATTATTAAAAAAAAAAATAATTCTCTGAGCAACAGATATTTTTCATAAAATTCAGGCACTAAAAAGTCAGTGGACTTTATTCTGTAGAACAGATGATCTGCCCTTAGGCAAGACTACTGAGTATAAAATTGGGCACTAGATTAAAGTAGGGACATAATGAAATAAAAAGTAATGACAGCAGAAAGAGAAGATAGAAAAAATAGGCAACAGCAGGCCTGCCCGTGGCCATTTAATACAGGCTCAGAGGTTAAGGAATGTGCCTGTTGGCATCCAAACTAATCAATGGAAGTGCCTGACTCCCAAACCATTTTTCTTCCCACCAAACGAAAGGAGGGCCCACACTGTGTCATCTTGGGACATGTATTTGCCAAGTATGACCATGGCATGGGAGCAAGTTTCCAACTTGATTTTGTAGCAGTTCAGGGTTTTGAACACGGGGAGGGGTCTGGTATGAAACCTGTTTTTTCAAAGAGTTAACCTGAGGGTTATGTGCAAAAAACATTGGAGGAGAGAAAATGTGAGGTCGTGGGAGACAATTGGGGCCATTACTGGAGTAGGGCAGGAGTGGAGTAATAAATGATTTGGAAGGTGAAAGAAAGAAATCAGGTAAAGGTAAGGGAAGATTTTTGAGGCGATGTAATAGTGCCATCTTTAAGAAGATCAAAGGATGTTAGAGTCAACGGGGAGCAACTTTGAGTTCAGCTCCTTCATCTAGAGACATGAGGAAACGGAAGCCCTGGGCTGGGATGTACCTCACCCAAGATCATAGAGATAGTTAAGCCTTTTTACAAATCCTAACACCCCACCTTTTCTTGAGCTCTGTGCTTCTGTGCCCACAGTGCTGTAATCCTCAAGTACGAAATCAAAATTACCTGACAGGTAGTTTGTAAGCTAGTACTCTCCAGGTTATATCCCACACCCATTTGTTGTCTTCACAGACACTGAGACGTCACAGTGTATTTTGAGCTGTGGTACGGTATCTTCACTGCCCACCGTCTCCAGGACTGAAGAAGGGCCATCTCATTGACTTAATCATAGATCTCTCACTGAGGCCTTTTTATTGTGGTATTTTCTCCCCTAGAATGTCTTGCTCTCTTGAATTTAGACTATGATAATTATGAATTTTAAAGGAGTGCCTCACCCACGCAGTCCATTATGGGACAGCTGTTCACTTATCCCGTGGTGGCTGTTACATGTGGGGAATCTTCCTTTAAAAGGATGTTCCCACTGACCCACTTACTAAGACTGCATGAGTCAACTTTCTTTTCTTAATGCTTGTAATTTCCTTTCATGTTTTTAGATTCACAGAATAATAGATTGTCAGGGACCTTGAACATCATCCTAGCCCTTATTTTATAGATGAAAAAACCATGGCTCCAGGAAATTATAACTTTTCCAAGGTTATGGTGACTTAGTGACAGTTAAAGAGGGTTGCTTGACCTCCTCTCAACCAGTTTCCCCATTTATGAAATAGAGACGATTCTGTGTACCTCAGTGTTTTTAATGAGGCTGAGTGAGATAAAATTTGTGAAAAACAATGCGTAAAATGGAAGTGTTACCATCAAGGCTAACTGCATCAAAGCAGTGCTCTTTTAAGTTGACCAAAAACATGGAACTTTAGAGGAGGCGTACTCACTGGTGCAGGACTTTATTTCCATTAGGTTATAAAATCCCTGCTGGCAGAGATTTTAGAGGTCAGTCTAACTCATAATATTTTACATATAGGAAAAGGAGGTCACACAGCTAGCTTTTAGCAGAGCCCAAGCTCAAAATTACCAGAATTCATCCCAGTTCCTCTATTCCACATTGCGTAGCATGGCGCTCGGTGCACAGTGAGTGCGCATATGTTTGCGTGCTAGTGGGCAGGCACAGCACAGTTACCACACAGGAGACGTATACCACCGTGGAGAAACGTGGATGGTAAAATGGGAGCAGAGTCCAGGAATATCCCCTAACCCCAGCACGGCTGTCCGTTGTTGTGTTCTGTGGTTCGCCCTAGCAGACTTGTTTGGAGTCATTTTCTAAAATTTTTAGGCATTTCCTGTGTATCCCTATCAGAGGTTAAATAAGCATATTCCTTCCTGATGTCTCCCTTCATCTAAGCTGTCCTTGTGATCTTGGGAGTGTCCTGCCACTCAAGGAAAGTCCATAGGCCAGGATCCTTTCTACTGTCACGGGTTTCTGTGTTATCAGCCATTGTAGTGGGGTAGGGGTGGGGGGGGGTTGCTGGGCCAGAGAAAGGGTGAGGATTCCTTTTGGGGATACAAGTCAGCAGTAGGGACCCTGGAAATGAATTTTGCTTATTTCCACACCTGCATCATGTATCTAAGCCTCTCACCTCCCAGCATTGTCAGGAAGATAGCAGTCTGATGTGTTGGTTCTCACCTTGTCTTGCACCAAATAACATCCTGTTTCCCTCTCATGATGGCAGGCAATATGGCATTATGTGTGAAATGTACATTACTTTGGAACTATTTGAGGTACCTTAAACAAAGTGACATTTTTCTTTTTTCTTTTTCTTTGCTTAAATCCAACAGAAAATGCCCTAAAAACAATAGAGGACGACGACAGAAGCAAAACCTAGGTCATTTTACTTCAGATACGTCATCCAGAATGGTTTAAAGTGATGACTTTTATATGTACACTGACCATGTGATGTACATTTATTATGTCTTTTTTTAAAGAATGGAAATATTTATTTCAGAGGCCTTATTTTTGGACATTTTTAGTGTAGTACTGTTGGCTCGTATTTAGACTATTCAACTACAACAGTTTTGGACTGTTTAGTAGTATTTGTTTTATGTTTTTAAATGCAAAAATTGATTTCACAAATTTGTACCACATGGTAATTCTAAGACTTGTTCTTTACCCATGGAATGTAATATTTTTGCAAAGATGGACCACTTCACAAATGGTTATAAAAGTCATACCCACTTCTTCCACAGTGATCACAGCAAATGGCCAAGCATGAACTAAAAGGTAAAGATGTTTACAGATTACTTTTCTTACAAAACAAAAATTTAGAAGACACTGTGTTTAAATGGACATTAAAATGTTTTTGAGCTTTAGTAACTGATTTTTTTAGACCCTGCCTATCGCATGAACTGTAAAGCTGTGTGTGTTAGATGTAAAATATTTATAAGATGTATGGGCTGGAATTTGATTATTCCTCTCTTGAAAAAATAATTCTGATAATGCAAAAAGGTATCTGGTAGTAATGACGAAACAGATCACCGAAAAGTAGATTTAGATATTGTAAAAACAGTCTGTTTAACAAACAGATGGGAATAAAGCCTACTCTATCAGTTAAACCATTTTAATACACATTAATTTTTAAAGAAAATATTTGTTTTAACATAAATAAATCGTATCAGTGTTTGTGAATAAAATACAAAAACGATTGTTAATGATTTGGTGCTCTCAAAGTGAGCTTAAAAATTACCTAAGACTTCTGTCCAAATTTGTCCTGTAGTAATAGCTATCTTATTAGATTGTTGGTGTTTAAAGACCTGAAGTGTGAGTAGAATGTATTCAGCCATTTAACATGTAGTTTAGATATTCAGAAGTATGCATGTAGAATTCAAGAATATGTTCAGAATTAAATATTAATTTTAATATTTGATTTGGAAAAGCATGTTATAATATAATGTTTTCACTATATGGCCTCTGTTTTGGTGTGTTTATTTACTACATTCTTTGAGATTGGTATGCCATTGCATGTAATATGTGGAGTTAATAGAAAAAGCAGAGTTTGGTTCAAAATTCCCCTTTGCTTTTACAAATACTTCTGGAAATTATCTAAAGACAAGAGCTTTACACAAGATTTGGAGTTTGCATTTTTGGTCATTTGACTTCTAGGCTTCATATTAGTCACATGGTGGCTTTAGTGAGCTTTTTTGAAAAAAAAGCTTTCCTCTTCTAGCCACACAGTCTTATTTGAGTCCTTTAGTCAGTCACTAAGCATGTTTGGAACAGTCCCCAGTGCTTTGCAAAGGTTCATATTGCAGAACAGTCACGTATGGGTATTTGTAGTTATAAATACTTGACCAGTCTCCAGGGGTGGGGCTTCCAACCCTTTAAACAACCCTGTTGCCTGTTATCAAGCTAACTTTTTGCTCCGAGTGCCAGAAGTGATCGTGGTAGGCCGTTCACTGAGAAATAAACATAATGGAACATAATGGTTCTGCTTCAAATGCCAATAAGATCCATCAGAACCGCCTGTCAGGTGTAACAGAAGATGAAGACCAAGACGCCGCTCTTACCATTGTGACGGTGCTGGATAAAGTTGCCGCCATCGTGGACAGTGTTCAGGCCAGCCAGAAGAGAATAGAGGAGAGACACCGGGGGATGGAAAATGCCCTCAAATCTGTCCAGATTGACTTGTTGAAGCTTTCCCAGTCACACAGCAACACAGGCCATGCCGTTAACAAGTTGTTTGAGAAAACCCAAAAAGTCAGTGCTCACATTAAAGACGTGAAGGCCCGGGTGGAGAAGCAACAAATTCACGTTAAAAACGTTGAAACGAAGCAAGAGGAGATAATGCAGAAAAACAAATTCCGTGTGGTGATATTCCAGGTAAGCGTGCACTCGGGTTTACCTTGATGACTGCTGTAACCTCTCGCCTCCTTTAATTGCCACAAGTCCTATCAGAGGTTTCCAGTGTCGCATCATGACTATTGTATCTATTCATGTAGTGGAATTCTCTGTCTGCAGAAATCTCAGGATAAAAGCCTTTCCATGTGTGAACTAACATACGATCAGATCAGTATTTTGAGCCTCTCAACCATTTAGTGTAATGTGAACTGTGGGTCATAGCTGAGGCTATTTTTTGCCTTTGAAACTTAATATTGTAAGGCTCTTTCAGCTTATTAGCCATATTAGTGAAAGTCTCATAGCTTTTAGAATGTTAGAAGTCTCTAGTTTGAAACACCTGTATTGTATAAACAAACCAAGGACCAGTAGCCCCACAACGTGGTGTGTATTTTTTTTTCTTATTTTGAAGAGCCAGGAAAGTCCTACACAGTAAGATGTCAGCTTTTCAGAATATAATCTGTCTATTGAAAATTTTTACATATGAGTCACAATAATAAGAAAAGCTATATTTCATAATGAATCAGGCAATTGTTATTTTTCTTATTATAGTTTTATAAATGTAGGAGTCACATAAATGATTCCTTATATTTGATTACAAAGAGTTTTTTTTTTACTTTGTTGATTTAATCTAATAGTTTTTGTGTGGTATTGTGTGTTTAGCTAAGTCCCTATATTGCTATACAGTTGACACTCATTTTTTGAAATAGGAACTTTCATGGCAAATGCATAATATCTATAATATATTTTAAAACTCTTACAAATCAAAAGGCAAAAGTGGAACTTCCTCCCATGGTAGAAAAATGGGAAAGTCATGATCAGACAGTTTACAAAAAACAAAATGAATGAGCAGAATTTCACTTTTAAATATTTGCAGTGACTAAAACACACACTCAGAGGTCAAGGGTAGAAAAAACAAGCACTTCAGTGTTCTGCTGGGAGGAGTATCAATGGGTACAACATTTCTAGAGGGCAGTTTTGTTTGTATTAAGAACCTTAAAAAATTCACGAAGGTTTTGGCCTCAAAAATTCATGTCAAAAAATTTGTTCTAAGTACAAAATCAGTACTGTAGTCAGGAATGTTCATTGTTGCACATACGCAGTGTTAACACGCTGTGTCTTTAAAATGGATAGGTGTCCATATGCATAGGAAAAACACCTAGAAGAATAAAAACAAAATGAAATAGGAACACAGTTGGATTATGTAGGCAGATATGCGTAAGATACTAGAGATGTGGGCTGTAACTCCCCCACAGCATTCTTTACACATTAGTCAATTCTTCGTAGCCCTCTGTTGACTGATAAATTTGCAGAGTGGTATTTTGGATCTGTTTTTAAGAGCCCGTTAGTTATTTAGGAAGAAGAATGGGGAGGGGAGAGAAGTGCCGCTTATTGCCAAGGTAGATAGGCTGGACTGTTCCATTTGAAGCCTTTTACCATTTCCCTTTCCTGCCAGGTCCCTGGAAGCCCCACTCCAGACCTAAAAATTTGAAAGCAATTCAGTGACCTTACTCTCCGAGGCCAGTCCCAGTGTCAGCATGTGTAATGGGGATCTAGATTTGGTGTTGGAGAAGGCAGTATCCATTCTTCAATTCACTCTGCAACATTAGCAGTAATGCATATGTATCACCCTCTGCTTGCATGGGATAGGCCAGTAAACATCCTTGTTATCCAGCATTCTCCTGAGAACCTTTGTGCTGTAGTGGACCAAGTCCCAGTCACAACTTACAGAGGCCAGAACAAAGAAGTGTCTGAAAAGTTCTGAGTGCCACCTGTTTGCCTGTTGACATGATTCTTGTTTTTAAAGTTAAGATGTTTCTACATTCCCTGAAACTTGCTATTTTTTCCCCTTTCTTTGAGCCCCCATAGGTACTTGAGCGTATAGGAGATAGTATGAAAAGGCAACTGAAAGGCACTGGTTTAGGTAAGATCTCCTTCCTGGGAAGATAGAGTGCTGTGAACGTCCTGTGAAGTGAAATTGTTCAGAGCCAGCAGCAGTTGGTGAAGAGGCAATTGCTGTCTGTGATCCTGGGAGAGCTTGTAGAGAAACAATAAAGGCAAATAACAATGGACATAGAACTTGGATGTGAGGATTCATTCACTGTTAGAACACTGTACAATATTCACACAGTTATTCTTAGCAGTTAAAGTTAATTCCTATAATTCATTCTCATAGTTAATATGTATCTGGGGTTATATTGAGAATGCCCCTTCTACTAAAATTAATTTGCAGCTGCGTATCAGCCATAGTATATGTTCATTTCCATTTGGGTCTTTCCTCAAAAAGTTTTCCCTAGATGTATCTTTTGGTGGCAATCTTTATTGGTATTTTATCTCCCACAGTTGTATATGGCTGAGCTTTCACTTCATACTGGACATTAGCATTAAAAAAATGTATCTACTACTTCTCATACAATTACCATTTCTCTTTGAGCACACTTTCACCTTGATGACCTTCTCATGATGCCAGCCAGGAGTCTTACCATATCTTCGAACAATTTTGCTTACCAACCACATGCCTGCGGTTACCAAGTGAGATATTTGGCCATTTCCTAATCATAAGTCACAGACTTCTACATACTCCAAATTTCCCCAGCCATGTTCAGTCAAGGCCACTTTACTCTTACCCAGTGAACTTGTTTTAAAAACCATCTTTTTATCTGGACTGCCCCATAAAAAGATATAATTGTATTTGGAAAGCAACTGTAATTCAACCCAATAATCTTCAATTATTATTACAGTATAGTCACCATTGACTCATACAGTGTATCTCTGACTCACAGGAGTTGCAACAAACAGATTGACATGACAAGTGCTTCCTCTGACTCTACCTCTGTTTTGATGTGTTTTTAAGCCTGCTTTTGGGTAGTTTGTTGTGCAATTGAAGAAGGATCTGTGATCCCAGAGTTAAGCTCTATCTGATTTCACAGCAGGATTGTCAGGGGTTTTACCCCCGCTAAGCAGTAATTATCCTTTGGCTCCTTCCTTTTCTAACTATACCTTCTCAGGCCATGCCCACCCACTCAGGGCTGCTGAAGCTACTCTGCAGCAGGTGACAGGAAAGGAGAGGAATAATTTTGCTGCTTCTGATTCATCAGAAAGTTATGAGACACCCACCCTGCTTCTTTTTTATGTTTTAGCTCCTAGGTGCTCCAATCCTGTAGCCAAAGATCTTAATGTTAAATAAGTATCCAAAGAAATAACGTTCCTTTGAAAAATTGACTCTCAGGCTGCTAGGTTTTAGAATATGTGTAAATGTATTTCTTTCATACTTATTTATTTTATTTTTTGAACAGATTTAATCTCGAGCTCAAGCAGGAGCATGGTTTCTTTTAGAAATTTTAACTCATGGGTTCAATGAAAATCTCATGATCTTTAAAGGTTTGCCTGTTTAGTTTTAGAAATAATCCCCAAATAGTGAGTGGGGTTCCTTTAGCAGCTGTGTTTCTGGGCTGGTTCTCAAGGTCACCAGTGTTGGTCATGTTCCCAAATCCAATTCTCACCCTTATCCTTTGACACATTTTACAGTTGGTCCTTCCCTCTCTTCTTGAAACTTATTTTCCTTTGGCTTCTGGAGTGGGGTGAGAGGGGGTGCTATTCTCTTGGATTTCCTCCTGCCTCACTGGCTGATGTTTCTCCTTTGGGTTCTTTTTCATTTCTTCTTATCTACAAGTCCAAAATCCATTTGTCTACCTGTAACCCCAAAACCCAGAAGTTTCTGAAAGTAAATTTTTGTATGACTTATGTGGCAGCAGACCTAGCTTGACCTGAACTCTTGGTGGCAAAACCTGATCCGAAATAGCACAAGGCAGCTTATAGTGTTTATCCCAGCTCAGAGTGATTCTTCATAATTTTTTTTTTAAGATTTTATTGGGGAATTGGGGGAGGGGAACAGCTTTGGGGATTCGGGGAAGGGGAACAGACAAGTTACTATCCCCCTGCTCCTCAGTCCAGTTGTGGAGGATGTTGCCTCACTGGCCCATGTTGGTATTATCATTGCGCTCTTCCCAGGTGAGGCAGTCGCTCGCTGGCCATTGGCCGTCCGCTCACGGCGGCTCACGGAAGCTCACAAAAGCTCACACCCACTGCCGGCCAGCTCCACTGCAGCCTATGCCGTTGCCAGTGACTCATGGCAGCCCAGCTCCAGGTCGAGCTGTTGTTCACCATCTTAGCTGTAGAGGGCGCAGCGTCACTGGTCCTCATGTGGGATCCGAACCGGGGCCCTGCTGCTCAGAGCTGGCGTCCCAAGCCAACTCTTAACCAATGCACCACTCGGCCGGCCCCTTCGTAATTTTTGAATATGTTTTTTTCTAAGATCTCATTGGGAATGTGACATAATATATTATTTTCCCCAAATCTGAAATATTCTGAATTCCGAAACACACCTTGGCCCCAAGGAGTTTGTGAATAACGAAGTGCAGACCCGTTCCTCAATGTCTTGGAGATCTTTTGCATTTAGTCTCTTGATTTTTAATTTCATCTTTATGTTAATGACTCCTAAGCTTTTCTTTCTAGTCCAGACCTCCCTTGTGAATTCCAGACTTACCGACTCAGCTGCCTACTAGACATCTCTGCTTGGATGTCCAGTGGGCATCTCACAGTCACCATGTTCGGATCCCACCCTCCCCCTCCAGTCTCTTCCTCCTGCGGCTTCCTCATCTCATTCAGTGGCAAGTCTATCATTCAGTCACGTAGGCCATGTCCTTGAGAATGATCCTTGACACTCTCTAACACTCCACATCCAAACCTAGCAACAGATCCTGTTGGCTCCTGCCTTCAGGGTGGATCGGGAATCAGACCACCTCTCACCACTGCCTCTGCCAACACCTGATCCATCTTTCACCTGACCTAACTCAGTGGGCTCCCTCCTCCTTATCTTACCCCCATAGCCTGTTTCCAACAGACGGATCCTTTTACGACATGGGTCAAACCATGTCACTACTCTCCTCAAAACTCTTAGAAAGTCTTCCTCTCAGGCTTGAAATACGAGCTCTGGTCCTTGTTATCGGACACAGAGCCCTACGTGATCTGGTGCTTCTGCTGCTTCTGCTGCTTCTCTGGCCTTCTCTCCTGCTCGTCTTGCTCCTGATGCCCCTGCTCCAGCCACGGTGCCCACGTTCCTGTTTCTCCTTCCCTCCCAGATACACGCATTCCCTTCAGGTCTGGGCAGGGATGTCACCCGATGAGTGAGGCCTTTCTGAGCATCCTCCGCAGTCACTGTGTACACCCCTTCCCTGCTTCCTTGTTCACTCGGCACTTCTCACCATCCAACATATTATACATTTAACTTGTTTATTTCTCTCTCTCCAGGACTAGAAGCTCTTTCACTTTGTTTTCTTTACAGGAGGTTCTCAGTTCCTAGACCATTGACGGGTGCATGGGAGGTGCTTAGTAATCATTTGTTGGATGAAGGCATAAGCCTCCTATTTGATCCAACAGTTGTGCTGGGCATGAAACAAATTAGACGCATGCCTGCTTTCATGGAACTTATTATCATCCAGTGAAAGTCTCAGGGAGACATTTATAAATAAGCAGAATTCCAATTCCATTCAAACTCTGATAAATGCTATAAATAGAGTTATGCACATGTCCTTGTGGTGTAAATTGGAGACAGAATTAGCTTCTTGGGGGAAGTTGGGGACATTTGAATCTGTTCTTGAAGGAAGATTTTCTTTTTACAAAGCTGAAAATGGTGAAGGGGCATTTAAGGTAGCAAGAACCACGTATAACAATGTTTTCATTATGCGTTTGAGGAGTTGAGAGTGGTTGGGTGTTGTTGGACTGGGGAGGGGAAAAGTGGTTTAGCTCATGCTGAAGTGCCTTCTAACTCTATGGAAGAATTTGAACTCTATCCTTCGAGTATTGATGAGCTCCTCCAAGTTTTAAAATAGAGAAAGAATGTGATCAGAGCTACGCTTTAGAAAAATTTCTCAGGAAATGCTTAGGTGATATTTTGGAGGTAAAGGTATTGCACAAGTTCAGGCCTCAGGTGACAAGGGCCTGAATTAAGACATTGGTAGAGGCAAGGAGGAAGGAAGAGAGAACAGAGGAGTTACTAAGCAGTATTATCGACAGTACTCGGTGAGCAGCTGGATATGGGATGGGAAGAAGAGGGAATATTTGGGATGATGATTCTGAGGTTTCCAGCTGGGTGGCACCTGGCTGCGTATTGGCGTGGTGCTGACAGGTCTAGGAAAAGAAATAGCTGTGGAGAGGATGATGGATGGGCCTTGAGTTTTGGACCTGTTAAGTTTGAGATGCCTGTGTTACATCGACATGGAGAAGTCCATTATTATTATTATTATTTAAATTTTATCATATTTAAAGTAAATTTGTATCATTGTGTGTTTTTTTTAATTTATTGGGGTAGCATTGGTTAGTTCAAATTTATTTCTATAAAATGTCCATTATTTGAAAATGTGTTTTCATCTTAGGAGAAGGGTGAAGAGAAAATATGTATGATTTTGCTTGCAATTGGATCTGAAGGCAGAGGAATGGATAAGGTTATCCAGGGTGAGCGTGGGAAATGAAGAAGGAAAAAGGGCCAACGCGAGAGAAATGTGGGGGGAATACCAACATTTACGGAGTGGGCAGAGGATGAACAGCCTGTGGAGGAGATTTAAAAGGCGTGGCAAAAGGTAAAAGAACAGATCCCTACCATACTTTCTTTTTCTCCCCTTTAGGAGGAGACTCAGTGTCCGACATCCCTCTCTATTGTTAAGGAAAAGAACTTCACGGAGAATCACGAGGAGGAAGAGGTCATCTTCGACCCCCCAATAGATCTGTCTTCAGATGAAGAATATTACGTTGAAGAAAGCAAGTCTGCCAGGTTTAGGAAGTCAGGCAAGGAGCGCATCGATAATATCAAGAAGGCATTTTCCAAAGAAAACATGGAGAAGACACGGCAGAGCTTTGACAAGAGAGTCAGCCACATTAGAACGAGAATAGTGACCCCAGAGAGGAGAGAGAGGTTGAGGCAGTCGGGAGAGAGGCTGAGGCAGTCGGGAGAGAGGCTGAAACAGTCAGGGGAGAAATTTAAGAAGTCTATTTCTAATGCAGCTCCCTCGAGGGACACTTTTAAGATGCGAAGCCTTCGGAAAGCTAAAGACCGAACTGTGGCCGAAGGTCCAGAAACGGTCAGGGAGATGGGCGTGGACATCCCAGCCAGGAGCGAGCCTCTGAGCCCTGTTGGCGAGCTCTATACTGATGAGTTCAGTGAGACAGACCAGGAGGAAGCCAGGGCGGTATGTCCTCCCCGAGAAGGAGGGGAAACCCCGACCCCCGAGCCTTTAAAAGTTACTTTTAAACCCCAGGTGAAAGTAGATGATGATGAATCTCTTTTGCTAGATTTAAAACAGTCGTCATAAAGAGGAATTAAGTATATTTTTCAGTATAAACTTCTTTAATCCTGCTGGTCTAGTTTAAATAGGATAGTCATTTACATTTATATGCCACATAGGAAAAAATAAATGGCATGACTGTTTTCTTTTATTCTGTTTAAAATCTTAATATAATATTATGTATATTTCCTAGTAACTTCCTTGGGAATTTTTTTTTTTTTCCTCCCCTGGACTTTTAAGATTCTAGCAGCTTTCTTTCATGTCACTCTGATGGCAGGTGTGGATTTTTAAGTTCTTTTCTCTTGCCTACCAGAAAAATAGTTACCTAGTGCGGGTCAGTGAGGTGTTTAATAGTTTAAAACAGGTGAAGGGCAAATTTCTGGCCATCATCTGGAAGTGAACTCTCAGTTTTGGTCTCGATTAATGTGGCCAACCTCCAAGGGGAGTTTCTCACATGTGGATTATGTCATCCATATGTTCACATCAACAGATGTGTTTGTAAATTAGGAATCACAGATCTTTTTGATGTTTTTGCATAAAAATATTGAAGTTCTGGACTCGAGCATTTGGCCCTGGCATCACAGCTTTACCTAACAGCGAGTCACTTGGCATCTCGTGTGCTAATAAGCGCGTCAGTAAAATGGAGAAGGTTTCAGAGGACAGTTGTGAGATTGAAGGAGACACTGTACATACTGAGGAAAAAAAACACATCCAGAGGAAAACAAGCCCTGTTGATTCCTCAAAAATAGAATCGAAGTAATTACACTTTTTGAAAACGCCCTGAGCACCAAGAAGTGGTGAGGACCTAGGTTGGACAGAAAGTAACGTTGGTCTTCAGAAGCCTTTTCACAGAATCAGGAATGAAAAATAAATGTTTGGGTAACATCTTTTTTTTTTTTTTTTGGCAAAGACTAAAACCAACTTTGGGTTTAATATTAAAAGGTTTCCTGGAAAATCCTTTTCTAATTTTCTTTCGCTTTAGATTTATGGTGGACTAGAGCAATATTGGTTCGAGCAGTGTGAAGCATAAAACTGACTGTGTCTTCAAGAGGCCTTTCTAACGTCAGCCCCGGTGGAGTAGGTTTGGAATGGACCTCAGAAGCTTCTGTTTTAGAGAGAGAAACCCGCAGGGTGCATCTGTCCAAAGAGTGTTCATAGGAGTTCATCAGAGCTGCTTTGGGAGGAGCCAGATTCTACTTGTAGCTTTAGGTCTAGCCCATCCGGATGTAGACGTTCTTGCTAAAGAGAGAAACAGCCATATGGGTTCTGCACTTTTGGTAATGTTTAAATCTTCTAGTTTTTAATAGGGAAGAAATGATGGAATTATTGAATTTGGACAACGGTAAGCTTTCAGATCAGTTTTGGGTGCTTGTGTAGTAGTTAATTGTAGTAACTGTACACACACACACACACACACACATACCCCAAATCAGCTTTCAAATATTTGACCCAGGTATCCAGATATTTGGGTTTGGGAGTTTGATTCAGCATTATTTCTTCTTCACTCTGCATGAATACATAAAGTCATAAATTGTTCATTTCTTCTTTTTATATTGAAAACTGAAGTGTATACAACATTGAACGATACTTTGAAATGAATAATTTAAAAAATGTTACTATCATTTAAAAAGAGCTTGGATGCCTCATCACACATTTCCTTAAAGCCATAATAAAATGAATTTTAAAAAGATACTACAAAGTTTGATGTCAGTGTCCTATTTGTAAATATTGTTACTATAATAATATAGCATGGTGTAAATTTGATATAGTAACCCTTTTTATAATAGATCTGTTTCTAGGTTAAAAAGGTAAAGAAGTTATGAGCTTTTTATTTCTATCCCTATGCAGAGTAAACATCAATGGGGCTAAAATGTTTTTCTGCAAATATTACAATTTTTGTAATGTCTGTTTGCTTACTGACTCATTATATAACCAGACTTGACACGTTATAAAACATTTTCCATATAGATACATTTGAATTTTGGTGAGGAGGGAGTTATAGCCTGGTCAGTTCTTCATCATGGTAGACTTGGTGCAAACCCAGAAACACTAAAACAATGTCATGTTCCCAGAGGTTCACTGTGACCTTGTACTGCTCTCTCGGACTAGGATTTTTCCCTCCATGTCACTTCTGTCTCTCAATAGTTCTCATATTGAGACATTTCCTAATTCTGCATTCATATTTTTTTCTTCCTTTTCCCCTGTTTTCTCTATGTAAAGAACATCTATTTATAATGGGCTGCCAAATCACACGTTCCCACTTAATGCAAGGAATATTCTAATCAGCGTTCCTTATTTTAAAACTTTCAGATGACACAGAACAGATTTTACGCTTATTTTAACCTTCTCTGTTTTTGACATTATACACATTAGGTTTTAAAGAAGTTGTTCAACTAAAACCATTAGCAAGGTTTACCCCCTTTTCTTTGTATGAGGCAGAAAATGCGACACCCATACACACCAAGGGCATGGAGCCCACTCCCAGCGAAGCTCTTCCACAGGATGGGCAGAGTGGAGTTGGGAAGTGCAGCTCTGTCTCCTGCAGATGATGACCCAGGGCTTTCCTGGGAGTCGACGATGGCCTGGTTCCGGCTCATAGGTTAGAGACAAGACCAAATGTGAAACAGTGCTAAGAGGTGCGTGAAAACTCAACTGCTGAGATTGTGTTTGTGGTGTGTGAACTTCCTTGAACAAGTTTTCATAAATTAAAAGTACAAACCAAAGTACAGTGTTTTCATTTGGACTTCGTTCTTTGCCTTCCATGTACACGTAAGGGTTTGCTTTAGAACAAGGCCTGATGTTTATTGTGATTCTGTCAGCTGAAAAGCCTGGGTCATGCCGTGTAAAATATTCCACAGTCATTAACGGTGCAGTTCCTTTATATCAAAGTACTGGGCCTCTTGTCTTCTGAGACATCTTTTCTAGAGCTTCTTTTATTGAAACTTGCTTTTAAAAATCACAGATTATGATCCCCAAATAAATGACTCTGGCATATTTAAATCCAGACGAGAGGAATGGTCATTATGTTCTCACCCTCAGTTCTGTTTGAATTTGGGGCATGCTAGGTAGGACCTGGTCTGCCGTGAATGAAAACTGAAGACACCTCAGGGCTGAGTTTTATGTGTTGTTCTCGTGACCGCTTAAGAGTTACGTGATGCCTGAGGATTGACAGCTGTCTTTACCAGGTCGGAATCTCTCTGTGTTTTGTAAGTGGATAGGAAATCTAGGAGAACTGCCTCTTCACTGTGAGGGTCTCAGGACATTAGCGGATCCCCGAGAGGATAGAATGAAGCAGCAGGAGATCCTCAGGCTTTGAATGTACTTTGGGCATCTTCCTAAAGTCAGCTGTGCTTGTCAGGGGCTCTTTCCCGACTGCCCTGCCACTGGATGTTTCTCCTTGCTCGTGCCGTTTGTTTCCCTTTCATTCTGGGAGTTGACTTTCAAGGTCAGTGTTAATGTCAATTTTCTTGTTTTAGCTTTCCTTGGTCACCTGCCACCCCCCTAGGAAGGGCATGATTAATTATATATTCAATATATATATAGCACCTTTATATGTCAGATTCTTTGTGAGGCACTGAGAAGTCAAAGATGACCCAGAACACTGTCCTTGTCCCCTCCCACTCCCAACCCTTATCTCAGGCACCCAGTGCCTGGGAGACAATCAAGCAGAAATTCAGCAACATGACCAGTACTGTGTATAAGGTGATGGAACTGTAGAGATGGAAGATGTTTACACAGAATTTTGATCATACATCTGTCACAGGACTTGCCTTGTTTCTAGTTTGTGTAACTGTCTTCTAGACGAGACTGCTTCTCAAGGCCAGGAACTGGACTGTACTCACTTTGGGTCACCAGCACTTGGAGCGCCATCATTAGGGCATCATGAATCTGGAGACGAAGGACCTGGTCTCTATGCTGAAGGAGCTTTCCCACTGGTGGAGGAGATACACATGTGACCCAGCATCGTTGCACAATGTGCTAAGAGCCTCTGATTTAAGACAGGATGATGGGAGCATGGAGGGAGACCATCTAACAAGCTGGGGAGGGGCTGTCAGGGATAGCTAGAGAAAATGATGCTTCAGTTGGCATTTGAAGACTAATCAAGCTAAATAAGGTAGAATTCAAGGCAAGATGCAGCTAGAGAGGTTCTGTGAAGGTGTTTTGGGTTTTACATCAAAGGCCATAGCCATCGGGGACTTTAATCCGAGGATCGCCATGATGGACGTTTTCGAAAGGTTGCTCTATTAACACACCAGGCAGAGGGACCAGTTCGTTGGGCCCTTGGCATCTCCAGGTAAGAGAGTAGTTCCTGCTGTAAAGCATTGACACAGCTATGAACAGGGTAAACTTGCGTGTGGGTTGTGATGGAGAGAAGCGAATGATTGCCAGCTTTCTGACTCAAGCAAGTGGCTGTGCCACTCACAGAGGAAACAGGATAGTCCATCTGGGGATCCCACTCTCCTGATGCTCCGTTTCCTCTCTGCTTTGACGGCCTTGTTTGCTAGTCCCTCGCCATAGCCTGAGAAACGGGAGCCGTGGCTTTACCCCAGAAGCTCCCACACTAGAGGCCTGCCTAGCCCAGCCATTGCAGCTCTTGCCTATGCTTGAAGAAAAGCCTGACGTGAAGAGACCCTCTCCTGGCTCTTGCAAGCGCCTTGCCCTCTCTACCAGGACTCCATAGTCCATGAGAAACAGAACTGCCGTTCAGGTCCAAGGCCATTGGGAGCTTCTCTTCCATCAATGGCTTTGCTCAAGGCCAGACATATTTCTGTGTGCTCCAAAGAAAAGCTATTCCTAAGTCTTTGGATGTTTTTCTCTCTAATCTCAGTTGTTTGCTACCTGAGAATTCCAGCCAAAGCCATGCCTGATATTGCAACCGACACTGCAGTCTAATGCCGCTGTAGCCTGGTACACTGGCAGAGGCCAGTTTCCCACGTTCACGGAACTACTCAGTCAGCTGCCATGGTTACAGCAGGAGCCTTGATCTATCTCCTCGTGGGTACTGTGGTTTCAACTCTCATCCCTTGGTCTGTCGCATTAGATCTGAGTCATGGCATCAGAAATGTATTAGGGGTTCAAGGTGGGATTTGATGCAACCCATTCCTCTTCTTCAAGGTTTTGGCTGATGGAAGAGTTCATAGAAGGATTGCCAGTGAAATAGAGACCAGAGTGTCATCTTTATTACTGGCTAGGCAAATGTCCAATAAATAATCCCTCCAATGTAGAGCATCTGGTAAATTATGTTGGAGCATGTGGCTTAGACTGAAGGCAGAAGAGAGACCCTCCTGTCTGCCTGGGGTCCTGAATACCCTGGTGTGGCAGTAGGGACAGCAAAGTTTGTGCAACAGGAGCAGAGTCCATTTTCTCAGCTAGCAGCGAAGCCCACAGGCCTGTCTCATGTATTCATCCAGGCGGAGCGGTGGGGATGGAGGTCCCCTCTGTGAGTAACCCAGATCAGGTGGGCAGGCAGCAAGGAGACGGGAGAGAGAGTGGCCAGGACGCTTGGGCCAGAACACCCACCACACCAGAACGTAGGGTCCAGTTTGAAGCCACAGCCTGGTTTATGCTGTGGAGGCCCAATGTACAGTTAACTGTAGCCCAGTGAAGGCAGCTACGACTCCTCGGAGGCCTGTTTTGGACACACCGACTTGAGGTGCTCAACTTCAGTGAACACCAAGGGGGAGGGTGGGCAAGTTGGATATTACAGATCGCAGCCCACAGGTAAGCCTGGAGAAACACACCTTTCAGATGAGGTTCAGTTAGGTGAAATCGTGAGTTTTTATGAGAAAATTCAGGCAGTTTGACTTTGAAGGAAGGAGTGGGTCAAGAAGTCGCCTAACTTCTAAATTAAGCTTTTCTAAACAATTATTCTCAGCTCACATTTCAAGAATTTTCTCCTGATCACTCTGTCATTACCTGTGAAAGGGTAAGAATTCTTTTTCCTCAGACACTGTCTGGTTTCCACACCTCCCTGATATATAATTCACTTTAAGATAAGAGAAACGTTATATATTGTTGTAAGCTTAAGTTTAGAACTGCAGTGAGCACCACAGTCTGGGGAGTTTGGTTCAGTTTCTTGCTGTGAGTTCATTGAGGTATTACTCCTCGCCCACAGCATAATCCTGTAAAGCAGCCACGTTATCCTGCTAATCTCCTGGGCTAATATTCAAAACTTTGATATCAGAGTCTCATTGGGCCTTTTATCTGAATAAGCTTTAAATTCTCAAACTGGTTCATATGTGGATATGTTGTTTTAGGGTAAAATAAAATCCATTGAAATGAGTTTGCCTCTTTAATAGTATTAGTGCCTTTCAAGCAGCCATATTTATTTGGAATGTTTCCATGAGGAGAAGAAATAACAGAATTATGCAGGGGATGTGCTTGGCTCTAGTTTAAATCAATGGAGAAGATTTCAGAGGGAAACATGCGTATGTTGGTCAACTCTAAAGAAAGAGGACTAAATTTTCTTCAACAGGAGAGAATATTCAAATAAACCATAGGCTGTAGATCCGTGAGGAAGGTGCACCAAAGTATTCTCTCCTTGAAACTCATACATTTTTCTCACATAAAAAGAGATCCCTGGCATTATAGGCAACCTGTGTTGGAGGGTAAATTACTTAAGATTTACTAGTTAATTCTCCCATATTCTTAAAAAGGTACTACCTTCGCATGATAATCTTAAACATCTGT